ATATAATCTCTGTTAACATATAACTGAATCTTCTAAGATTGTACGCCTTTGCCAAGAATGGATTGTGTCTATAATAGGCGTAGTATGAAATTATGTGTCTATAATTGTTATAACTGTAGCTGACATCCGCTTCATAATCTGAAATTTATTGATCTCTAAAATGAAGTCCTATCTTCTCCATGGAAGTTTTGCTCACTTCTTTTTTTTTTTAAATTTTCCTATTTTAAATTTCCTTTTTAAATAAACCAATTTTCCAATTTTCTGTGGTTTTATTTTAACTTTTTTTTTTTTCAATTTTAATTTTCTATAGTTTCTCTTTTTTGTTTTTCTTATGAATTGTCTTTACTATTGTTTGCATAAAATATTCTTACCTATATTCTTAACATCATACCATAATAGAAAAAAAAAAATTATTACTTTCACATGACTTGTTGTCTAAATGATTGTAAACGGGGGAAAACAAAAAATTCGAAACTTGAAAAAAAAAAAGAAGAACAAATAAAATAAAAATTCTAATATGGATTTTTTACCTTTACGTTTTACCCTGTACAACAATGAAATAGGATTTTGTGACAAAACAATCCTTTCCTTTTCACCTCTCTCTTCTGTTCTTCTAATAGAGAAAAAAAATCATTTAAAAAAATTTTTTTTTGTTAAATTGCAAAATTTTTTTTTTTTCATTTTCCGGTTGAAAATTTTTCAATAAATGACTGGTTTCGGTTGTTGTAATCCTGTCATTCATAGGGAGTATGGTGTATTATATTAAATTCACCATACTCTGATTTTCATAAAATATTATTAACTGAGCTTCCCATCTTATTATAAAATTTTGTATTTATATAGACTTAAGCGAATATGAAAAAAATAATTTTTATTTTAAAATGGGGGAAAATAAAAAAAAAAAAAACAAAATCTGTAAATATTTTCATTTTCCAATTTCCTTTTCGTGTTTTGCTTGCTTGACTAAAGAAAAATTAAAATGAAAGGATAAAGTTATAAAAATCGAGCACGCAACTTTTTCAAAGACTCTTTTGTATTTTACTTACTTCAATTTTGGTTGGTTGCAGAAGCAAAAATTGCATTTTCTATGAACTTAAACTATGTAGACTTGGTTTATTCCAGGATTTTTCTTGTTTGGTTTTTTAAGAGGCAAATTTTGTTTTGTTCAGTTTTTTTTTTTTTAAACATTTAAATATTTAACTTTAATATAAATTCATATAAGAGATCGGCGTTTTTATTATTATATTTTAGCATATAAAGGTGTCTTACATTATTGTGTAGGGTAAATTGGAAAGCAATTGGCAGTTAAAATGTAAATTATAGTTCAATTATTAGACGTTTACGCAAATTATTTGAATTGTTGTAAATATGTCATGTTTGAAGGTATGTATGGTTTCAAGGCATACTTTGATCGAAAATACCTTGACCTTTCTTTTTGTTTTTTTTTGTAAATTCGGCGAATTTAAATTAATACACATTTTTTACCGACCGCATTGAATACAACTAATTTTAAGATCAAATGCCCTGATTACAATAAACTGAAATTAATTTTAAATAAAAGTTTCTAGTGTAATTAAAATCTTGAATCAGTTAGAACTAAGTTTTTATTATTTTACCATGTAAAAGTCATATTTATCAGAATATAAAAGTCAGGAACCAACGAAATGCATACTTTACGATGTAAAATTAAAATACCAAAAATAGGTGTACAGAAAAAGTTTTGTTTTATGGTAGAGTAAAATATTTGTTGATGTTTATAGACTGCTTTTAGACTCTTATGCAAAAATCAAATTATTCGTAAAAGTAACGATACGGAAAACGCGTTCTAAACAACAATTAATTTCATTGTTCAATTCAAGAGACTGACCTAAAAAATTTTAAATTTTGTGATATAGGAAATAATTTCTTACTTTACCGTAAATATTACGTTATATAATTAGCAAATATTTTTTTATTTGTGCAGAGCATACGGTTTGAAGAGCTATAATAAGTGTAGAAGGAGGGAAACTAAAAAAAATTATTTTAAAGAAATAATGTTTCCGGTAAGATTGACTTCTTTACAATAATAATAAACCTGTGTAAATAATAATAATATTATAATAACTTGTTATCTAGTTTAATTTGCAAAATTTATAAGAGAAATTTCCCAGTAGATTACAATATATAAATTTCTTGAACAGTGCAGAAATTTTGTTAACATAGTTACATCAAGACGTTCGATTATCATATAAATCGAATGGGTTCAATTGCCAATCTTTCCCTCTTTACCCTATATTTTTTATAATGTATATGTGAAGAAAACGTATAATCAAATAAGTAAATATATTTAATAAGTGCGTGTATTGGGAATTTATTTATATTATCTCTTTTTTTTTACCTTATTTCATCTCACTGTGGGGACAGAATGGAGATATAGCTCTAAGGTATAATGTAATTTTCTGTCATTTAAATTTAAATATATTGTGTATATAATATATAGTAAGCTCTTTTTCTGGGAAATCATATTTTATTTTTTCTTCGATTTTGGCTATATGTATATATGAATACAATTTTATTTATATCCTTTTTTAAAAGGATTTTAAACAATAATAAAATAAAAAAATGAAATATTGCAAAAAATATCGATTTCATAAAATTGGGGTTTCATTTTTCACTGGAAGTTATTAAAATAATATAAATATTTTTCTATGTATGTATGTATGTGTGTTTGTATAATATAAATAAAAACAAATTTGTTTTTTATGTATAAATAAAATAACAAATAGTAAATTTTTCCCTTTCTATTATTGAGAATAAAAATTTGAACTTGATTTTCCCTTTTTTGTTTTGCTTTGGTAATTTTTTCGTTTTTTTTTTATGAAAATACTGTAATAAAAACAGATTCAGCCAGGTGTTAAAATGATGAATTCCTTATTCTTACATATAGATACCCAATTTTTTCCATGAATAAATTTATATATGAATAAGGTAAAATCACATATATTTGGAAATTACTAAAATTATATGATTGGAATTGGTAAAATTTTATTACTAGAATATTACAATAAATGATGAATGAGTTCGGGAATATAAAAACTACAGGTTACCTCATATAATTTTCAATTTTATCTATAGATATTTTGGTCAAAATTAATTAGAAAATTAAAGAGCTAACAATCTGTTAAGTTTGTGTAGTGTAAGTGTAAGTGAAAGTATTTTAAAGGCAGATTCTTTAAGTGGGTTTGTGGGGTTAAATAGGAATGAGTTTGCATTTATTTAAACGATAACGAAAAATAACAATAATAATTGAAGAGGTAAGTGGACAAAGGGTTTAATTAACATTTTGATGAAAATCGAGCTGCTCATATAGAACATCATTAAATTTCATTACTCTTATAGCTAGAAACTTAATAGAATACGAGATTAATAGTGCACATTAGGTAACAAACGAGATTAATAGGAGTTAGGTAACAAAAAAAAATGAATATTTTTACAATTTGTTAATATAAATAAGTTAGGGCAATCTGCTTTAAATATAGTCTAGGTGAAGCGTTTATTTTAATATGCAAATGACAGAAAGCAGTGGTCAATGTATGGGATATGGAAATTGTCTTATTAAATTGGCATTTTTAAATGTGACTTAGTATAAGTGTGATAAAAATTGGGACAGGTTGTGATAACTGCTTTATAGTCGAACATAAATTATCGTTATAAATGTGAAAATTTGTGGAGGTTTTACTGTAATTCCATTGAAAAAGAAAAATATTAAATTTTTGATCGCCTATCTTTTTTGTCTTTTTTGCAAATTAGGGGCTGATTAGTTCTTTCACTTTAAATTTCAAAATTAATTTTGACTTTACCTTAAATAATTAAATTTTCAAGTTGTACGAATAATGAAAATTTTACCTATTCTGTTATATACAATTTTTATAATCGAGCGTTTTTCGAATTGAAACGTTTAACTTAAAAGAGAGCGGATGCCGGATATTTACTCGCATACTCTTTAAAAATTACTCACACAATGAGAATGATGGTTGCCAATGCATGAAGAAATAAATAAATTTTTAGAACAATATTATGAAAATTTATAAAGAAATTGTTTCTGGAAAAGAACAACAAAATTCCATTAGAATTTATTAATTTACTTTTATTTTACGAGTCTAATCTAAAAAAATGGATTGCACAATATTTTTTTTTTTTGATAATATTTAATGAATTCCCTAATTACAGATTTGAAATTGACCCAAACTTTTTATGAAAACTTTTATACCAATTAAGAGTAATTTTGTATGACAGATGTCTTGAAATTTATTTGGGTATACGAAAGTATTTTATCTATGTACGACTAATTTGGAATGTCATTAAATTTTTATGACAGAATAATAGTAAAAAAAAATTTCATTTTTGCTTTCTTTCTTACTCGCGTTTTGAGAAACAAAAAAGAAAAATTTAATATTAAATTTATGCATTTATTTTATTAAAGCTTAAAAAATCCTGACTTTATTACTTAAAACCATTTTTTTTTCGTGTGCAAGTCCGCATTTAAAATTTTTATTTTTCTGATGTTCGCCCATAGTATTGCATATAAAATCATTGTATTTCTTTTCCTTTATGTAAGCAAACAAAATACACTGGCGGATTTTATTGGAAGCCGTAAAATTATGCAAACAACTGGGTACCATCAAAATTGATTTTATTGCATCAAATAGAATTTATAAGCTTTAAGAATATCAGATATTGATGCGGTTGTTTATAAAAAAAAAAAAAATAAAATATAACGGTATTTACCTTAAAAATATTGAAAATGTTATTTGTTTTTTTTTTTGTTTTAATATTTTTCCAAATTTTTTCGTGTTTTATGCTGAAAGTTATGAAGCATATGCAAATTTTGTTGTTTTTCAAAAAAGAAAAAAAAAATAAATATTTGAAAGAAAATCATTTCAGAGTTAAGGGAGAAATTTTCCATCGTTTATTCAGTAGTCCTTCGGTTCTTGTTTCTATAAATAGAATTTTTTTTGAGAATGTTAAAATGCTTATGTAGTGGTATGGAAGGATTCAAAGTAATATTGAATGAGAGAATATTTTTTTCAAGATATAATTTTAGTTTTTATGAAAAAAGTCTATTTCTTTCAGTGTTGCAGTATTGTTGGCAAATACGCTGAATACAGCTGGTTGAGTACTTTGGAAAGATTGTCGGGTATATAATATATTACTTTATAAATTGTTACATTATTGTATTTTAGTACTGTTGCAGTTGTTAAGAAGCAATGCTCAGTTTTAGTTACTCAAAAATATCATATAAAAGTCAATATTTCTAATGCAATTTCCGAAAATAAATATGACTGTTAAATTTAAGCATGTAAATATGCTTGAATAAGGTATAGGCAGGTAGGTAGGTTAACCTGGGCCAGATAGGTCCGTGGTGAAACTGTTGTAGCATTGTTTTATAATCGAATTAAAAAAAATATTTAAAATAATTCTGAGTTTGATCTTGTGATAAAAATAAACTTACTACGTCTAATTCTGAACGAGTAATTGAGAATTGAAGTAATCGAAAGCCTCTTGAGCTGGGACTGTATTCAAAACTATTTACTTATATTAAAATTGTCATTTTATTTTAGAAGTTTTCAGTAAATTCAGCTAGACTACAAATTATATTAAAAAATATTGTTTTAGTTGAAAATGAATACTTATTTGTTCATTTCATTTTCAATATTGCATACAAACGTGTAATTTGGCAATGTGTTCTTAGTTTTGCTACCGCGTTGAATATTTTATTTTCTCGTTTCTTATTTATTTCCTTTATTTTTTGAGTTTTCATTTTAAACTCCTAAAAAAACTATCATATTTTATAATACTGTGGAATGCAGTATATAAGGTAAAAAAACTAAATTTTAGAATTTCTTCCAAACACAGAAGAAACAATAATATTTTTTTTTAAAATTATTGTATAAATTAAATGTTTAATAGTTTTGCGTATATTTATGTAATGGCAAAATTAAAAAGTTAAAAAGCTTAGTAAATAAGTCTAAAAACTATTTCTGTATCTTTTTTTCAAAAGATTCTCAATTTTCGAATATTTAATATCCTAATATACTTAAGAACACTAATATGTTCTTCATTTTTTTACTTATTGAATGATTAAAGGTAATCTCGAATTGGGAGCTTCGGCAACCAAAGGGGCTTTTGAGCAATTATGGATTTGGACGAGCCCGTTATGGGATATTTCCTCAGAAAAGTTGATCGATTCATCAAAAACATAGGTTTCGGGGAGGTGCTTAAGAACCTAGACGCTCATGATGGGGGGAGCACAATAGATCTTTCAGGTCGCGGTGCATCATTGCCCAATTTTGTAATCTAATCTAATCTAATATTGAATTCAGGATTATTATTCCCTTAGGGCTTGTCTTTATATATAATTGAGGTTCAATTTTTCAAAAAGTTGACTATACTTGAAATAACAATTTTACAATCAAAACATCAATTCATTTTTAGTTTGTCAATATTTTTTCTAAAATTCATTAGATTATATAAGGTCCTTTTTATGCATTTTGTTATACGTTGTAATTTGTAAATCTGTTATACTTAATTCATATTTGTAATTTTAAAATAAACTTTGCATTATTTAAGTAGTTTACTAACAAAAAAAAAAAAATCATTTTTTTTTAGCAATATCTAGAGAAGATAATGAAGACTCAAATCATCAACAGCATCATCATCATTTACATCATAAAGGTGGTGTAGGTGGTCATCATCATCACCATCATCATCATCATCATGGTAATCACGGTAATAAAGTTCCATACAATGGATATAATTCAGAAGAATATTTGGATAAATTAGAACCGAATGGAAACATCCCATCAAATTATAGATGTGGAGGTGGTGGTAAGTTTTTGTAATATTTTTATTTATTTTGACTATATTTTACGTATTTCGTACTAAAGTTTACGATATTTTTTTTTAAATTTTAAATATTTGTCTTTAGTTTCGATTACAAAAGTAATTATTAAAATTTTGATGTGTTTAATGAACTTCAGTACTTGATGAAACTTTTTGTTTTTTTGGGATGGGATTGTCCTTTGTTACTCTTATACATAATGAGTTTTTCATGTATTTATTTAGGATTGGATTTTTTAGTAATCTAAAAAATTTATGTATATGCAATGTTATATAAAATTCAATTTTAAAATATGCAAATCATTTGTTGTTACTCATGAGAAATCGGTAGTCAAAAGTAAGGGGTTAATGGAAAAATTATCTGAAAAAGTAACAAAAATTCAAATAAAATTATTCAAAATCTCGTTAAATTTTCCATAAATATTCATAAGGTTATGCAACTCCAATGAAATTTTATTGCAGTTTAATTTTGAGTTTTGATGTTTTTTTTTTCTGTGTCATAAATACTTTCAACATATATATGGATATGCAACATATATACATATGTAAATTTAACTTGGAAAATATAGAAGCGAAAATTTACGATTTCTTGTTGTTTTAACAGTTTGTTTACACACAAAATAAAAGCATATTTAGCTGACATATTTGCATACACGAAATTTTTGGAAAAATTTCAAATTTCTATGGGATTTCAAAAAATTTTACAAAATATTATTTAAGCATTCAATTTAAATGTTACATGATTTGAAAACGTTTCATTTTGAATTGATGTGTTTTTTGACTATTGAGTAGTTTTGCAAATTATTGTATAGAGTACGATAATTGAAATATTTTTGTTACAATTTGAAATGCAACTATTACAAATTGATTGGTGTGTGTTTAAAGTGCTATAAAAAGTGCTTATGAGAGAAAAGTTTTCGAAAATTAAAGGAACCAAAATTATTAAGTGCAAAATTAAAAGTTAATTAAAAACAGACCAATAAATGGACACTTTAAAACTATTCCAAGGTCACCAAGGTAATAAAATTTTCTTAAATTTCTGTAGTTGTGAATTATCTTCTATAATGTTTTTTTCATTCTGACAAAACTCAGAGGACACTCACAGTCATTCTAATCACCAATATTATGTAATAATTTCATATTCGGAAAAATCAATATAAGTTATATAAAAATTTCTATTTTTAACCTTTATGTTTACCCCCAAATCGGCATACTTCATTTCGTTTACAAAACAATACCGAATTTTAATTGAATGTTGACAGCGAAATGGTTTCTGGCATGTTTGGCAATTTCCGTGCAAGAATGACATTTTGGACATAAATGATAATTTGTATTGAATTTAATTAGATCCATTCCTATCTGGTCTAATGAATTTATTTGGTATTTCTATGTATCCTAGCATACTTTCTATTCCATTTCTAGAATTAAAATTTTTAATGATTTCACTGTTGCCATGGTACGTTCTACATTTGATCATCTCAGAAATTACTAAATGTTCTGTAAGGTTTTGAAGAAATTTGCAACAGTTTTTTTGTTTTTCATTTTTTTTATTATGAATAGAGTCTATTTCTTTGAAACAAAATAATGAAATATAAACCTTACATTATCATCGTAATCATCTTCTATAACCACTTTTCCAATGGAAACTCCGTCACGTTGTTCTTTTGATAGCTTTTCCTATTCTGGCTTAAAAATGATTTTATTCTATGGGTCTGAACGTTTAAATTAATTAATTCAATAATGTTTTTAATTTTTTCTCATTTGAATCACTTTGAATCTCTAAAATATTTAAAAATTCAGTGTTAATATTGAAAAACATTCCCGGGTAAGCGGACATCAACAGAAGGGTTAATTACATTTTAATCGTTCGCTACATAAAATTTCATAAAATTTTGAATTTTAAATTTTATCTCAAAATTTTTTATATTAATTTTTATTTAAATTATTCAAAATTACGATATTAACAGTATATAAAAGTATTTTAATTATTTAAAGGCCACAATATAATTTTAAAGTCAATTTCATTAAGGAATTTTGTGAAAAGTTTTCATTAACATGGAGGAATGTTTAAAAGTTTTTAATTGTAAATTGTTTATTAAAATATTTTTATTTTATTTCTATTATTTTTTATATCCTTTTTGATTGTAACTCATAAAATTTCATTTTATTAGCTACGATATTAATGTTTCCAACTCTTCAATATTTTCAATATCAAAATGGAAAAATTTGAAAACATTTTAAATTTTAATTTTAAACCTTGTACTCGTATGTAGGATAACTTTTTTTTTTTTAGAATTTTAGGAGGAATCAACTTTTAATTGAATTAATATACATATGTGAAATTTCAACTACATGCACGATAATATAGATTGTATACGTATCATAATATTCGTATATGTTTCATGACATTCAATTATATAAGAATGTCAAAATTAATTTATAGGATAAGTGAAGCAATAAATTGAAAATTTTTTGAAAAAGTTTTATAGCTTTTTTTTTCTTTCCTAAAATCATTTTATAGAAATTTTTAATTTTAAATTTGAATTACTTTTTTTTTTTTTGAAAAATTGAAAAATATATTTAATGAATTATGAGGATTTTATTGAGAATAAAATGGATAAAGTTAAAAGTTAAAAATTTTTAATTTTGTGGTATAGTATAAAAAAATAAAATGTATGTAAAGTCAATAAAACAAAGTGAAAATAGAACCATAAGTAATATCGAACATGCATAATTTAAAAACTAAAAATTTAGATTGTTTCTTCTCTGTTTAAATTTTTCCACTAATATACGATTGCACAAGTATGTGTAATTATTGTTATTATTATATGATATTGTAATAGTTGTAATAGCGAGAGACAGAAGCCTATCAACCGTTAGAAACTCTGCACATAAGATTATTTCAGAAGGTCATTCAGGTTAGGCCAGAACACTCGAAGAGAATATATAGCTTACGTGTGCTATCGTTCTAACGCCCCTGAATTCCAAGAAATATGTGATGATGCTGACCTACCCAAGAAGCAGCTCCATCTTATACAGATTATTTTATTCAAGAGACAATACCTAATGAAATTTGGAACATTAATATTAATATCCTTCTGGGCTCCAAATATTCTACCACCATTCGCAATAGCTCTATAACATTATTAGTATACTAGTGAAGCCTCGTTGTGACGCTTGATGGTCACCGATCCAAGAAAACAAAAATAATATGGCTTGTCTTATGAAACTTGGTTGTTATATTTTTTTATTTTTCAACATCAGGAAAATCACTCAAAAAAATCACTTGAAAAAATCATTTAAAAAATCACTAAAAAAATCCCTTGAAAAATCAGCTAAAAAAGACCGAACCCTAATTTTCTACTATAAGAAAACTAGGTCTACGTTGTCAGGAAAATCACTCAAAAAAATCACTCCAAAAATCAATTGAAAAATCACTTGAAATTGACACTCAAAAAGTCCCTTCAAAAAATCCTTTAAAAAAGGCACTCAAAAAAATCTCTTCAAAAAGTCACTCAAACCTTTCCGACGAAAGGCTGTGTCTAAAGGTTCAGATCGCAGCTTTATACATTAAGCCGTTTAATCTGAAAAAATCACTTGAAAAAGTCATTCAAAAAGTTTCTTCAAAAACTCCGTTTAAAATGCATTAAGAAAAATACACTCACTAAAAAAATCTCTCAAAATTGTCACTCAAAAAATTCATTAAAAAAAAATCACTCAATAAAATCACTCAAACTGTAAGTGACTTTGTGCAAAGGTTTCTTCGTTAACCCGTTTTCATGTTAGAGCAATTCAATAATCATCAAAAGTGTGACCGACCGACTAGCAAACTCACACACAACATTGGGCTATTATTATAATAGATATGGTTCTCTTAATCAAATATTATTTTCTGCTTGATTTCGAATTAATCTTCAAATTTGAATTTTTAACTCCATTTTAGAGATTTTGACCATTGTTATGATAAATGAGATTATTATAGTATACAAGGAATTAAAATTTAAGTATTTTAAAAACTTTAAAATTAATTTATTTTGTTTTTAGAAGAAAATAAATTCAGTTGTCTCACGACAATGCTCTCCGAAAATTTATTTTATTAAAATAAATTATATGCAAAATATTTGAATACTGAGCTAAAATGTAAACTTTCGAATGAATAATTGAAAGTACATATTTATAAAATATTAAAAATACTACAAAAATAATTTATGTATAAAATAAAAATAAATTTTCAAAAATCTATTAATATACAAAAAAAAACAGAAAAAAAAAATTGCTAGTTATAAAAACCTTTTAAATATTCTCATAAATTCCAATTAATGTCCAGACAATGTACATATATTTATTAACCATTTATATTTATTTTGCATCCATATATTCTTATGTGTGGATAAAATAGATATAATCAATAATTTCGAATTTCTTAATGCAATAAATATTGCTAAATATCCTTTTATTTTTTAAACATTTATTAGCGAATGGATGTGGGCAACGCATCTTTCCATATATATATATATATACGAGTATAATATACACGAGAGTCCATAATAAACCACAGCATATTATGCTTCACGTTAAAATTTTTAAAAATTTTAAAATTAATGGTGATAGCAGAAATTAATTTTAATCTTTATCTATGTATGTGTGTATTTGTGTAAAAATAACGTGCAGATTCATAATTTGATAGTGGTGTTCTAAATTATATATGAATACGTGATAATATAATCTTGTGGTTAAAAATATTTTGAATAATTTTTTCAAACCAATTGCCATTGTATATTGGTACTTGTTGGTGTATGATAACAGTATTGAAATTATTTAAACTCCTCTATATTTAACAGGAAATGTAATGAATTATTCTTTAATCGGACTAACCGCGTTCATCTCATCCAAATTGTTTATAAATAGTTTTGTTTTGTATGTAAATTAGGTTTCCACCGTATGATGGGAAATGAAATAAAAAATGCAAGAATTGCAAAATTTTATTT